GGGGTCAGGCTGGGGGAGAGAGGTGTGGGAAAAGAGATACAAGAGAAGAAAGGAGACAGTGGAGCTTAGGAAAGGTGGACAGACAAAAGCAAGAGAGAGATGGTGAGTTTCACTTCAAAACCGTATTTCATAGACTGCCACAAACTTTACAATTACAGTTAAATACACATTAGCATTGGATTCTGCAGACATTACCAATAGTTAGACTGAAAGGCCACAAAGATATTGTCCTGCCTCTAGGCCAGTGCATCCCTCTATCTGGATGCCGATAAATCATCACTGCCAGGAATAAATTTGATCCCTCTATTTCTGAAGAAAAAATGTTTTGCATTTGCAAGCAGCAGTTTTCTCCAAGTGGCAGGTGTGTTCCAATCATTTCCCAGGGAGAGCATCTTCAGACAAGCCATAAGGGTTTCTCCCCACTCTTCACATTGCTCTGTATTTTGTGGACTGCTCAGAAGATGTTTCTGGCACTGGGCACCTGCTCATACTGCCACTGAGGCCCAGATGAGTTTCCCGATTCTGCTCCACTGATGTTCTTCAACCCTCCATAAGAGGGACCAGCTTTAGGTGCGAGAGGATAGTTCTGTCTTTGTTTATTTATCTCTGTTCTCAATGCTAATAAGGGGGTGATGATGTTATTTGTGCTGTGGCCACTTCTCTATTAGGAATAGACTAAGCGCAGCAACTCTTTTCACATAGGCTTGCAAACAGCCATCAAATGATAGTCACTGAACAGCTAAAATAGAAGTGATTGTGTCAAAGACACCCCATCCGCTAGAGCATGTGCAACCTCTGCACTGATTTGATATCATCAGCTGTTGCCCTGAATTGATCAATTAATAGAAACATGAAACTCAGGTTTTGGCAGGTAAACTTTACTTCACCTCTAAGAGGGAGCATTGTCTAGTGGTTAAAGCACCTGACTTTGAATTAGGAAATGTTGGTTCTAGTCTTGGCACTGCCATTCACTTGCTGTGTGACTGTCCAGGTCGCTTAGCATCTGTGTCTCAGATGACCATGCTTTTAAAGGGGGGAAAACCGGCACATGTTCATGGTGACACCTTTTAGGGCTGCAAAGAGTCAGACAAAAGGATACTTTTATTTTTAAGTGTGCTGGTGTCACCACTGCTAGCTTCTGACCCAGGGAGACCTGCATATTTTGGAGTGGAGGATTTTTTCCAATACTTTAGTGTTCTGCATTCATTGTGAAACATTGAGCAAGAGTCAACAGTCACTTTGAGCAAAGGAACAGCTTTGATAGCGTTTACTTTCATTCAAGTTCTCTTCATTCCAGACATTGTTCATTACACTGAAAGCTCATTCCACTGGGCTATTTGTTCTCAGTAAACAGTGCAGATTCTACTCAGCATAGCAATACATCTTGAACAAGCATTGTGTAGCTATAAAAAAACAAATATTTTGGCTGATGAAATGAAAAAAACAGGATATTTCAATTATCCTGAAGCTCTTGGGACATCATAAGAAAAACCAAGACTATCCTGCTTGAAATAGGTTGTACGGTCACTTTATAGTTACCTCCCATGTAAACTGGGGATATTTACCTCCACCTTACAGAGCTGCTGTAAGGCTACGCTCATTAATATCTGAATTGCTTTGAGAGCCTCAGATGGAAGGCTCTCGGAAGTATTGTTTTCAAGTGGTGATTTTGACAGTAACATGCTAATCTGAAATGATCCTCTAGAACTAGTGCTGCTAATTCTCCCTCCACCTTCCAAAACTCACTGTGGTACAGTGAGACAAGATGTTCCTTCCTGTTTCCCATATTTCCAGAACTGTGCTCCACTGCAGGAACAAATGACCTAAAATGCTTCTGAAATTGTATTTTCTATGTGATTTCCCAGCCCAGCGGGGTGGAAAGCATAGACTAGGTGGAAACAAAACTGGTCACTTATCTGAAACAGAAGCTAATCACTTATTTACTGCAAGTGAGTACCGACTAAAAACTGAGATCTCTAAAATGTGTTGCTGGATCGTTGGCTGTTGGCTGTTTTTTCAGTATGGCCCCAGTTCTAGTGGGATGACCCTTGTATTTCAGTCAGACTGGAACCGCTACAGAACTGAAATCCATGTGCTGTTTACATGGTGCAAGGAAAATCTTTGACCAAGATATGTGTGTATTTCTGTTCTTGCAACAAAGCTGATTCTTATAAAGCACACACACTAAATCCTCTCTCCTAATCATGCCCTTTGAAAAGCCTGCATTTTCTCTTTGCTTACAGGCAGCTGTGGTCATGGTGGGATTGTGAATATCAGCCAGCCCTATGTTGTACAGCTGAACTGGAGAGGATTTTCCTTCAAATATGGTTCCTGGGGTAGGGATTCCTCTCTTCGGACCCCGCAGAAGGACCTATACTGGGTGGCACCTTTGAACACAGATGGGAGACTCTTAGAATATTACAGACTTCATAATTCCTATGATGATTTGCTGCTATTAAAAAATGCTCGAGAGTTAAAAATTCAATATGGGGAAGGCAGTGGCACCGCAGTTTACAATAACTTCATGTATTACAATGTATATAATTCAAGAGATATGAGCAAGCTCGATTTAAACACAAACACATTGGCTGTGAGGAAAACTCTGCCGAATGCTGCTTATGGTAACCGTTTCTCTTATGCTGGTGTTGGGTGGCAAGATATGGACTTTGCTGTGGATGAAAGTGGATTGTGGGTAATTTATTCAACCGAGGACAACACAGGTAACATTATGATTAGCAAACTCAATGAGACCACACTTGATGTGCTCCATACTTGGAATACAAGGCAGTACAAGCCATCCATTTCCAACGCTTTCATCATCTGTGGTGTTCTATACGCCACAAGACCTGTCAACACTAGGAAAGAGGAAATATTTTACACATACGACACAAACACTGAACAGGAAGGTAAAATTAGCATAATTATGGATAAAATGTTAGAAACAATTCAAAGTATCAACTATAACCCCTCAGACCGAGTCCTGTATGTTTACAATGATGGCTACCTTGTTAAATACAATCTTATTTTTCAACCTGTGTTACACTGATATGAATATACATAACAACTAGAGATCACAGAAAGTCTGATTTTTATATCCCTTTGGACAATGTTAATGTTAAGTTAGGGCCTAATCCTACCAAAAGTAGCTCCTGGTCATAAGGTTTATTACCATGAGCTGTCCCATTGAAGGATAATAAGCTCTATGCCTGGTACCAATTGGGTGCAAGATTAGGTTCATAGCTTTTTAACTGGTTGTCAAGGCTGCTTCCCCACTCTGAACTTTAGGGTACAAATGTGGGGGCCTGCATGAAAACTTCTAAGCTTAACTACCAGCTTAGATCTGGTCCGCTGCCACCATCCCAAAGCTAATTCCCTTCCCTGGGTAGCCTTGAGAGACCTTCACGAATTCCCTGGTGAATACAGATCCAAACCCCTTGGATCTTAAAACAAGGAGAAATTAACCATCCCCCCTCCTTCCTCCCATCAACTCCTGGTGGATCAAGATCCAACCCCCTTGGATCTAAAAACAAGGAAAAAATCAATCAGGTTCTTAAAAAGAAGGCTTTTAATTAAAGAAAAAGGTAAAAATCATCTCTGTAAAATCAGGATGGAAAATAACTTTACAGGGTAATCAAACTTAAAGAGCTCAGAGGACCCCCCTCTAGCCTCAGGTTCAAAGTACAGCAAACAGAGATAAACACTCTAGTAAAAGGTACATTTACAAGTTGAGAAAACAAAGTAAAACTAACACGCCTTGCCTGGCTGTTTACTTACAAGTTTGAAATAGGAGAGACTTGTTTAGAAAGATGTGGAGAACCTGGATTGATGTCTGGTCCCTCTCAGTCCCAAGAGCGAACAATCCCCAAAACAAAGAGCACAAGCAAAAGCCTTCCCCCACCAAGATTTGAAAGTATCTTGTCCCCTTATTGGTCCTTTGGGTCATGTGTCAGCCAGGTTACCCGAGCTTCTTAACCCTTTGCAGGTAAAAGGATTTTGGAGTCTCTGGCCAGGAGGGATTTTATAGTACTGTACACAGGAGAGCTGTTACCCTTCCCTTTATAGTTATGACACTGATGTTTAGCTACAATGGCAACAGGAATACTAGAAATGCCTCTGCTATAAAAATAGATTAAGTAGATGACTTAGTGATGCACAGAACATGCATCATGATAGGGAGATTGCTCACACACACATGTGCATTTGGAGGAATGTCTATTTGGATAACACATGGAAAGTGCACTGCTGTTTCGTCATCATTGCTCAAAGTATGCAAGGCCATAAATATCATATTAAATATTGGCCTCAAATAATTACTAAAAGATTAAAATTAGAGGAGAATTAGAATTTGATCTTTAAAGAGCAGACCATTGGTTAAGCTGAAGCTGTGGAAACGGTTGCCTTGTCTCCTTCTTGCAACCCATCAATGTATTTTAGATGGCAGGGCTCCAATGCACTACTTTCCTAAAGTTGCACTTCATGAAAAAACCTTATTAACCATTTTTGGACAGTTGCATTTTCTTATCCCTGTGTCCTGGGGGCCTGATCCAAAGCCCAATGAAAGCAGTCCCTTGGTATATGGCACATGCTACAACAGAACATAAGCTATGCCATCCTACATGCTCCACATAGTCCTGGAGCCCATTTAGTCTGCAATTTACTGTGAGCTCCATTAGCATCTTTCAAAAACACTCTGAAAACAAGGAGCCAAATTAATTACCAGTATAATTCCATTGGCATCAATTACCTTACTTCGGGGGTGAATCTGGCACATGATATATCCGTTACAGAATACTGAAGTTGGGACAAAATCAGTCATATGCTCTTTATTTTTAAAATGCCACTTATAAGATTTTTGTATCAATATCTGTACTGTAATCATGTCAGAAATAATGAGATGTACAGTTATGAAAATGCAGTAAATGTTTGCTGGTTTTCTTTTATGAATCCTATCTTTGTCTTATAATCTGGATCAGTAGATGTGAATTATTAATTTTTGTTTAATAAAGTGTTATAAAAATCCAAACCCTATAGTTGCTTGTCATTGCACAACAGCTGGGAAATTTTGGGATGCAGCAAGAAGCCAGCTTCACCAAACGATATTAGAAACAGAAATCATACTCCTTTGGGCTTAGAGTGTTTAAGAGCCCCTGGCACAACACAAAGGTGTGAATCAATATGTCAGTAACTAGAGGAGGGACTTTATTTCCACTCATTGAAATATGTTCACCAGTTAGATTAACATTCTCCACCAAGTTGAGATGTTACTTGAGAGGTCTGAGGCTGATGACACATTTTTAAGTCAGATGCTGCCACTTACCAGGTATCTGCATCTGTTTCCTGAAAGTGTTTGAAATGAATTTGAAAGCCAGCCATCACTGGCACAGTAATCTGATCCATGAGCATGGGCCTTTAAAGAATTCACAATAGTTCAACTGAGGGTTTGTTTAACTATAAAAAGCTAAAAGACAGCAGAGAATTTCTTGCTTCACATTTTTTGGGGTGGCATCCCATTAATTCCCAAGGGTTGACCTATTCACAGGCATAAAAGGCAGCTCTATATGGCATTACATTTTAAGGAGCAAAATCCACTGTGGGGCTAGATCCACAAAGAGGACTTAGGTTCAGTGTTGCAACACCTAACTTTAGGTACTTAGTGGAATCTTCAGCCCTGACTCAGGTACACAGGCTCCCTATAAATGTATGTGGAGAGTTGGACACCTAAGAATGGGATTCACAGAAGCTGAGTGGGATGTTGCTGAAGCTAGCCAGTCACAAATGCTGAGTAGAGGGTTGGGCTCAAGTCCACTTAATGCCACTTGGGATTCACAGCTGTGACCCCTCTCCTAGAATTAGGTGTTTAACCCAGGTCAGCCCTGTCTGAAGGGGGAAAAGAAAAGTCAACTTGGAGGTTGTGATGCCCTTTTATACACAGTATTTAAAGCATTCAGCCTGGTTGTGGGAGACCAGGGTTCAAATCCCCACTCTTCTTGTGTCAGAGCAGGCACTTGAACCCAGGTCTTTCACTGCCCAAGTGACTATGCTAAGCACTGGGCTACAGGAAGAGTGGGGGGAGGGGCTTTCATAATCTCACCTGTTGAAGCTGCTTCACTTTGGATGAAATACTTAAATAGTCAGTGGCCCAAAGAGCAGTCAGAATGACTCTCTAGCAGTGGGATTACAGTATCTAGTTTACAGACCCAAGTTCTAGTCCTGCACCAATGACTGTTTAAGCCTGGACCACTACTCAGTTCTAAGCTGTTACCGCATCTTATTATTGTCACTGTGAGAAATCTTGTGATTAGCAACAAACTTGCTAGTAGCAGGCAGGGCCAAACCAGTCGACTTTCTTTTGTAGGAGGTTCCTATTTACCAAACAGGCTGTGCAATGTCAGCTCACTCTGTATCTAATATCAGAAAGACTAAAGCAAAGGGCAAGTCTAGCCGATTTTGTGCATTTCCCACTTGCAATTTTTGAGTGTCACATCAGCTGGACAGCTCCATGCCTTTCTGTACTGTCCAAAGAGAGAGTGCCTCTTCACAGTCACGGAGGTGCCTAATTTGGGGTAGGTCCCAAATGGCCTCATACTGTAAATGAGTTTCTGATATGGTACTCTCCAATTTACAAAGAGGAGCACGGCGTCCCCAGTCCCTGCACAGGCTTGCAAAACTGAACGGCAATGCAATGGGAAGGCAAGCGCCTTCCATTGAAGCAAATGACAAAACTTCCTTTTTCTTCAGTGGGAGTGAGACTGCAATGAACCGACACCTGGACACAAATTCAGTTGTTTGGAGATCCATTCCTGACCTGATTCCTCTCCACAGTCTTGTATCTTGGCCTGTCTCTCTATCATCTCCTTGTGGATATTTTGCTATTTATTTCATTGTAACTTGGTTAAAATTGAGCTCCTTTCATTCCTCTTGAGATCTCCACTGCATTCTCAGTCACTATTGACAGTACTATCATCCTTCCTGTCACTCAGACTCATCATGAGTCATCTCTGACTCTTCACCCTCTCTAGAGCCATGTATCCAAGCTGGATCCAAGCCTTGCCACTTCTTCCTCCCTCACATTTCCATTATCAGGCCTATTCCCTCAGTCTACATGACTAAAATTCTCTCCGGTGCTTATCTGCATCCTCTCGGACCTTCCTGGCACCCACCTCACTCTCCTGTCTAGTCAAAA